CGAAATATAATTAGAATGAACTCAACTGTTGCTGATGGATCATAGAAAACTACGAACACGACGACCTGAAGACCTGTACCATACGAAGGAATAATCAGAAATGAAAGATAGAGCAAACACTACGCTGATCGAGCGCGGAATGAGACACCCCGAGGGCCTCTCGGCTAATCCGTTCCTAGTATCCAACACTTCGGCTCACCCGTTCCAACTCCGCTCAGCCTTCGTCGAACGTCCTTTGCGGGTACGGAGCTCGTCCGCGCGTCGAATCATCTTGATGGCGTGCTTGAGGGCGAAGATGGATCCATCTAGAATAATCGGGATCGAGGGAGTCAAGAGTTCCAACGAAAAATGAATGAAAAATGAATAAATTCAAGACAACAACGAATGTGGTGTCGCGCCCTCTGTTCGAGTGGCGGCCGTACGTATAGAAATTATGTACAAGGTCGCTATTCTAAGTCCTAATCACTCTCCGATGGAAGTGTACACGAGTAGCCTCGTATACACCTCCACAGAGGGGGGGGCTTAAAATGTCGACCTCGACATTTAGGGAAAACAAACCGGAAAGGAGAGTGATAACATTGAAACGACGACCAGGAAAAATCGGAATAAACTCGCAAAAAGTAGAAGAACACGAAACAAGGACGAATAGTCAAAGAGGCGAAGGACTTAGCGTGAAACTGTGATCAAGTATTCGTCTGAAGGACTCTTGAGGCTCGGAATATCGTCTGCTGGGAGAAGGGCATAAAGCTCTGGATGCTGAAGAGCGAGAGTCGACCACTGCGAGCGTAGGGTGTTGAGAACGAATCCCGATCGCCGCTCCTCGTCTTCGGTATACCGCCAACGCCAAAGGGGCCAATTCTCCTCCTCCTTAGACAACTGATTGTTACCGTAGCTCTCCAGAACTATCTCCTGCACGATATGCCACGGGCCGCGTCGATTGTGTTGCTCGGGAGAACGAATGAACGGCTTCTCTGGTCGGTAGTAGAAGATCTTGAGGCGAGACGCGTGGACTGGTCGACGTATGAAGGTCCCATCTAGCTGCTTCAACAAAAACGCGCCGTGTTCTGTCTTGCCAGCAACGATATAGGGCCCTGACCATCGCTCCAACTCCTTGTTACCTTTCTGCTCATCCAACCAGGATTCTAAAAGCAAAACCCAGACACCCTCCTCAAACAAAGACGGATCCGAAAAGCTGATCTTGTTTTTCCGCTGTGCGTCGTCGATAGCATGCTGGCGAGATTTCCGAATGGACTCCTGGACGTCCTTGAGCAAGTCGTTACGCCTAGTGATCTGTAGGGCTCGAAGTGCAATCAAATCATCAATAGTTTTGACGGAATCCCATTCTAAGGTCTGCCAAGTGGCGTCCTCGTACTCATACGAAAAGGAAGGATTGAACCCATAGATCAGATAGTAAGGAGTGAAGCCCGTCGTACGACTGAACGATGTACGAATCGCCAAAAGAACGGCGAGAAGATACATCGGCCAATGGTGTTTCTTCTCTCCACAACATTTCCACAATGCCGGCACAATCAATTGATGAGAGCGCTCAACGATTCCATTACCTTCGGGATGATATGTCGTCGAGAAAATGATGAGGATCCCGTAGCGGTCGAACAACAGCTTCACAACCGCATCGAACTGAAACTCGGAGCCGTTGTCCATACCAAAGACAGGAATATAACCAAAACGGCTTATAATCTCGAACAAAAACTCTGCCCAAGCCGCTGCGGTCTTAACCGCCGATGCCTTAGCTTCTGGCCACCCACCATTCGCGTCTATCGCACACAGAAGAAAATGCATCGCCGTACCGCTGTGAGTAACACCCTTAGGCATTACCACAGTGTCCAGATTCCAGCGCTTGAACGGCGCCGAGTTCCAGCTCACATTCATCTCGACGACGGGCTTCCTTCTCGAATTGACTTGACATTCATAACAGGATCGGACGTACCACGCAATATCATCGTACATGTTAGGCCAGTAATAACGTTCACGTAGTTTGAAGTAAGTGGAGTCGCGTCCTCGATGACCGGCTTGATCGTGAGCTTGTTTGAGAATGTGTTGACGGCGCGCAGGGTCAATGACGACGAGAAGAGGGGGATGAGCACCAGGCTGCTTAGGATACCTATAGATACGACCTTCACGCAACAAGAAACGATCAGCGCGACGTTTGAAGCGAAGAACTTCCTTTCCGTCCGCGTTTGCGAGGCGAGAAGGAAGCTCTTGCTTCTCGAGATATCTGATCAACTCCTTCCACATTTCCGGAGTATCTTCGTCCTTAATGCCGAACTGATGACCAATACACGAAATGTATCCTTGGTCACCCAGTTTGGCATCTCGAACAGGCGACGGAATAAAATCAAACAACTCCCCAACCGAAGTCGAGAGCTTCGAGCCATTATGAAGAGCTGAAAAAGAGACAGGCGCACCAGGCTTAATATTCGCAGCGTACTTCCACGAATAATAAGTGAATGCCACTGGAATAATCTCTCCTCCAATCTCGCAACCTTCGTCTACCACCTCGACCGCTACGTTCCTGGAGAAAAATTCGCGTCCAAGGTATTCGTGAGGCTGCACGATCGAAGCTTTACTCCGTTGGAAGAAACGCCGCACGCCATCCTTAATGACTTTGCGTCGAGTCGCGGCCGGATCGTCGTGGAGTTGGAGAGGAACCAAATCAGCCGCGGGCCAGTCTTCGTCAACGTAATTGAGCGCCCATCGTCGAGTACCCAATACCGCGTTAGGGGGGAGTGTCGGAGGTGTCTCGTGTAAAAATGAAACGGTATCTTCGTCGAAAAAGGGAGAAGGAATAAATCGAGTGGGACGACTGGAATGCATAGAAAGATGAGAAATAACTGAAGATAGAACAAAAGAGACAGATTGGGAATCGAGAGTGAAGGAGCGGGAAAAATCCAAGTCGAGAATCGAACCAAAGGGGAAAGAAGAAGCTGATGTGCGCGAGGTATGGCCAATGAAATTGTCGAGAAACGCTTCCGCATCCTCCTCGTCAGAGTCGTCCGGCGCTGATCGACGTCTTGAAAGTCCATCGGAAGCTGTATGGTGATCCGCCTTGACGTGGTGTAACTCGAAATCGAACAGCTGCATATATGAAATCCAGCGAGTCATCGGAGCGTTAGGAAGATCGGGAGTACTCATCATCTCTTTTAGGAATTTTGCATCAAATTCCAGACGGAAGCGAATACCCCAAATACGATGCCGCAGATCCTTCATTGCTCGGAAGACGCCATAGAGCTCCGCCTTCGGCTGCGAGTATCTAGATTCAGTATCATTATACGTACACGAGCCAAAAATCGCCGGTTTCTTCTCCTTTTCGAGGAACTGATAGACGACCCAGCCGCTGCCATGAATAGAGGAATCGACGGCAACAACGACGAGTCCATGGTCCGTGACACGAGGAAACTGAGTGATCTTCTTCGCTAAGGAATAATCAATGGCGATCAGGACGGGAGCAGAGGTGACGAGCTGTTTAAGCTGATCCATGGAAAACCTAGCAGCGTCATCGAAAACAAAGAGATCATCGGATTTCTTAAGAAGCAAAGTTAAAGGCTTAGCTATGATCGAGAAATTTCGTATCCATTTCCGTCCACATCCTGCCGTTCCCAGAAACCCGCGGACCTCCGAAACGTTTCGAGGTTCAGGCCACTTGAGGATCTTTGAGACCAATCCGTGATCGAGATGCCAGCCTTCATGAGAAACAACGGTACCGACGATCTTCAACGTAGGCGAAGCGAGTGTCGTCTTCTTCCCGGATGCCGTGACGCCTGCAGCAATTAAACGAAGCAGAACCCGATCCAATGTAGTAGCATATTCGAAAATGAACTTACGAATATTTGGATTGCCTTCTATCGTCTCATTGTTGTATGTCGACCTCGGACCCTTAATTCCAATATCGTCGATAAAATTATTGGCGACAGAGGGAATTTCCGGTTGAAGTGCATGCTGTACACATCGCTGAAATTCCTGAACAGAGTTAGTATAACCTTGAGGGAGCGTACACTGCTGCTTCGGACCGTCAATAGAATGGAAAGCTGTCAAAGGGCGAGAAATGATAGCGAGTATCCTCGCATCGAAACCAGAAAGTAAATCCGCGATACCGTATACAGAATACCCAACAAAATCTTCGGCAAAGTCGTCGGCCCTCGGAGGTAGCGCTGAATCTCGAATACTGATGGCGTTGAGGTCTTGCGAGTCGAGAACGAGACGTACCGAGCCATCCTTCTTCGAGACCGCGAATAAAGCAGAGCGATAACTTGAAGTAGTCGGTTCGAAGCGCCCTCCGATCTCTTGCTTGCGAATCTCCGTACGTACCGCTTCTTCCAGCGCCTTGGGGATTCGTATCGGAGGTTTTTGCCAGGGCGTATGCTCTATAACAGGAATCTCATAGTCAGGATAATATTCAGACTTGAACGTACCCTTCTCCGTAAAATCCCACGCAAACGCGTCCTGTCTCCTCTGCACTACGAAACCTATCAGCGCTACCTCTTCTTCGGATAAAAATCCCTCAGGTATACTCGCTAGCAACGCGTCAAATCGTTCTTGGGTGAGTCGAGGTGTCGGCTCGAACTCGGAAATAGGTGGAGGTCGGATGGGGAGAGGCTCGATCGTAGGGAGTGGAATCGTTTTGAATTGTTGAGCTGCAGGATTTGGCATGTAAGTAGGAACTGGTCGAACCTTTCGGTCCACTGGCTTGTATCTCTTGCCAGCATTAGTAGAATAAATTCGAGAGGGAGACTGAGAAGAAAAAGCACGTATCGTCCAAGGAGTCGGAATCGGTCGAGGAACAGGCATAGAGTAACCAACTCGTCGCAATAAATTATCGTATGAATCTGGAGGGGAAACAGAAATCAGAGAATCAAATTCAGAAAAAGAAGGATCACCGAGAAGTGCGTGTATTGATCTTCCCAGAGTCGGCGAATCCTGTACAGGCTTAATAGGGACTAAGGTTGCTGCGAAGGACCCGCACGTTCGCGAAAATCCTGGTCTTCAGCTGAGTCGAAAACCTCGACAATCCTTGGGTCCAAAGGCAGAGAAGACGTCGTCGTCGACGAAGGGTAGCTTCCAGAGGGACTATATGAATGGTCAGCAGGTAAAACGGATGCTGCACTACCTATCTTGTCCATATTCTTCTCGTGGTGAGGTTTCGCTAGCGTAATGGAAAGAGTCGGAGGCTGAGAACGGTCGCCATCCTTCCAAATCGTCATGAACATTGCTCCAGAGCGATCGTAGTCGATGCGAGTGGCGAACCATTGAATCCAAGGCTGACCTAGAATGACGTCGAACTTACCCGGATCTCCAGTACCCGTTGCCTGAACAAAGAAATGGTGAGCTAGATTGTGGCCTCCGACTACGATATCAACGTCCTTAACGCATCCGAGTAGTCGAACAGGGCCTCCGTGAACGCCTTTCAACGCCCACTTCGATCCTTCGAAGTCCAATGGGATACCTGTCTCGTTAACTAACCACTCAGGAATTAAATTCAACTCGGAACCTGTGTCGACCATAAACTTAACCGGGCGGCCTGCAAGCGTCGCCGAAAACTGTCCTGTAGTCATAGCAAAAAATCTCGAAGGGCGTAACTGAACAGCATGGGTATGAGTAACGAGGAAAGAACTTAGCTCTCGTTCATCCGACACGTAGAGTTGATCACCGGGTGCGATTAAGGATGCGGTCTGGTGCTCGGAGAGAATCTCTTCAGCTCTAGGAGTATATAACTCGTACTCACCGTGCGCATTCGTATATTGTCGCCTAGTCGTAGTCGCGGCTGTCAACCGTTTCTGCAGTGCCGGAGACGCGCCAACGAGCTCGCCAATAGAAAGGGTAATCGACTGGGCCCAAATGGCTTGTTCAATCTTCTCGATAGACGTCTTCTCTTGAATATCCGAAGTGAAATGGAAGAGAGGACCCTTCTTCGCGGCGTCTTTCATGTCGGCATCCTGCGACTGTGTCTGAACAGGCGGCTTACGGGGTGGAGGCTGGGTGTTGATCGTCGGAACTGGGGGAGCAGCGGGTGGAATATTCGGACGTGGGGCTTGAGGACGACCAGCAGGCTGAGAAGGAGCAAATGAAACACCGCTAGGACCTGGAACGGCGGGACGATTCGTAGTATTCTGCACTGGAGCCGGATTATTAACAGAAGACTTAGCTGGATCTGGACGTCTATACGGATTGGCGTTGTCTCTTCCAGCCGTGTCCTTGCCTGAGCGAGTTACCGGGTTCGAGTCGTAATCTACTGCATCTGAATAATAAACTCGAGGTGACGGATCATTAGCAGACAAGGCAAAAACATCTCCCTGTAAAATCGGTTCATCGCTACCGCTGAGAGTCAATCCAACCGAACTCGTCGAACCAACAATCGGATTAGAGAGACTAGAAATCGCCGCAGCCTGGTGAGGCGGTGGGTCACGAGCCAAAGGCTGAGCAGGCGCCTTGGCGAACATTCCAGTAAGAGTCTTAAAAGTAGAACGGAGATACGCAGCTAATCCGCCAAGGAATCCACGGGGCGCAATAGGAAGATCAACTCCGTTCGGAAGCGTATACCTTCGAGTGTTCTGGTCTTGTACGATCATACCTTCGGAGACTAATTTTTGAGTCTCAGGACAGAATTGAAGTCCTAAGCGGTGCTGTCCGATCTGTCCGCACATGAAACACCGCCGCTCAAAATCCTGCTGAGGCAAAGTCGCGTTAGTGGTATCGTTCGAGATATTACCTTGTCTCGTAGAGCTTCCGCTAATCAACTGCGCCATCTGAATCTTGAGGTTCTTGAGCTGCTCAGCGAGATTATCGACATCGTTTGGTGGAGCTTGCTGAACTTGAGGCTGGGTTTGCTGATCCTCGAAACGAACGGTGCGCTGTTGGACGGGTTGAGGAACTGAGCTACCGTCTATTCCGAATGAAGGGGCATTGGCTGGTGGTGCGATCCAAGTAACGTCGATCTGATCTGGGTCGAAAGTCGTCTTAACTAGCTTAAATACGTCAGTAATCGGAGGCGGGTTAGTAATAACCTTATACTTCTGATCAATATTGTCCCCGACGTATACACGGTGAGTACGAGGTAACCCTCGATAGAACCACAAGTTCGCTTCGATGATAGTCCACAGCTTCTTATTAATCAGCTGTGAACTCATAGCGTGAAATCTCCGGTAATACTGCTCGAGTTCATAGCGAGTCGAAAATGCTTCCAAAACAGAAGTCTGACCACAGAAGGAAATAACTGTGGACGGCTGTACGGGCGGGGGCTCGTCATCTGCGCCATAGAGAGAAAGCATATGTTCCTCCGCTTCGCTCCATCTCGCACCCTTCTTCAACTGATCAGAATAACGTAAAACAGCCTTTACCTCGTCCGAGCAATACTGCGCGATTAGAGGCGGTAAATCGTCCTCTGGAACACCCGCAGCCTTACCATGAGCCTTAACGATATTGAGAAAGTCGGTAACGAATTTCCCCGTGAACAACGGAGCATCTTTCGAGTGAGGAATGGGCATATAACGCACGACCGCGACAGCCGTCGACAGTCCGGGAGTTTGGCTCGCGGCCGAGCCCGTGTTCGAGGAAGAACCGGTGTTCGACATCGAAGAAAAATAACAGAAGAAAAAGAGGAGCAGAAATAATGGAAAGACTCAGCGATTAGCGGAGGGTATAGCGAACGCGTATACGGAAAACCAATCCCCCTGCGGTGGTCACCACTGTGGAGGAGAATAATTCGAACTCGCGGGGTTTGATGCGGTCGATACGCGATAGGGTGCCGGCTAAGGCTAGAGTAGAAAATGTAGAAAAGATTAGCAATAAATGGAATATGGATCGAACTGACCGATTGACGAGGGCCGGAACGAAGCGTGAATTGAGGAGGTTGAACGCTGAGTGGCGGTGGAAGAGGTCGACGACGACGGTGAGCGCCTCTGAGTGTGAACCGAGGAAACGGCGCGAGGAGAGCGTTCGACGATTGAAGTCGATTAGGCCGAAGGAGGCGAGGGCTGCGAATCAGGAGTTGTTTTTGAAAGGGATAGGTGATGAGAGAGTCGAAGCGAACGACGACTTGAGAGGTGAGGAGGGACGAAGAGACTCGGGGGCGGGAAACTCTGAGGGACTCAAACTCGGACTCGAAAACTGGGGGAAAACTCGGTGGTGGGTCTCTGGCATT